CAGAGCTTGCTTCATGCTTGCATCCGCCGCCACATGATACACAAGCAAACGTACGTTTGCTTTTACAAGATGCATATTTTTTGGATCCATGATACCGCTCTCCTGCTTCTCTAAAACCTGGAATTCAGGATAATTCTAGACAATGGAAACACCCCAGGATATGTGTTCAGGCTATTTAGAGTGGTTATAAATATCCTTTGTTTCAGGGTTTGCCTGATGAAGTACTCTAATAATACTAAACTTTCTGGAAGTTGAATTTTTCTTTTTTCCCTAAAATATAAAAGGTAAGTAGTCAATGCTAGTTAAATAAATGATATTTTCTAGGTCTCAGTTTGAGATCACTAGACCTAAACTACTACTCTGAACTTGGATGTTGTGTGGAACCTAAAGACAGACTGTGTTACGTGTGTGTGTGTGTGTGTGTGTGTGTGTGTGTAGAACTTCTATACCTTCAACTAAAGAAACGTTATTTAACAAAGTGATATCAAAAGTGAGTTACTTAATCCTTTTATAAAGTTACTTCCTTTCCAGTTCAGATTATGGACTGCTGGATTTAGTGGTACATGACTTATCCAGGTTGTTTTGCTTTCAATAAGACATTTTATAAAGTCATTCTTGATATTTTTGTGATGAGAAAAGGAAGTAGAAATAGGTTTAAAGTGGGTGAGAAATAGGCGTTATTGATGAGAATGGGCCCTTGTGTCCACACAGATGGGAATAATCTAGCAGTGTGCTTTTTTTAATGTTTTCTTTAATAACATGTATAAAAATATAGATGACAGAAGCATTGGGTGTTAGGAGCTTATTTTACAGTCTAATAACATGGCTAAATATAGTCTTATGTCCAGATTCACAGAAGACAGTTCCCAGTTGAAAGGGAAAGAAAAAAAAGGGGGGGGGGGAACTGGGGGATGGGGTGGGAATCATTAACAATTTGAACATAAGCCAGCAGTTTAGAGTAGTACCCTCGTCTGTTTGTAGGGGCTGGTAGTCAAACAAGGAAGTCTGTTTTGTCCACCCGCTGTACTGATGGGCCCTGGGAACCAGCATCTAGGAGGATGACAGCCAGGGTGGTGGGCGTTCTGGAAGCTCTAACAAGAAGCTCTGAAGGCCCCAGACTCCGGCCTGCTGGGCTTTAGAAGGAGCAGGTGTGCGTGTCCCAGAGCACTGCCTCTTGGCTCAGGCTAGAAGGCAGAAGCTATAGAGGTAGAATGTTTCTGTCACTCTTAGAACTTTCTAGAATTGCCTCATGATAAACTCATGATAAAACAGGGTGCCTCCTGTGGTTCTGAGCGCTCATCTCTGAGGATCACCCCAAAGCTGCCCTCTGTAGCTGTGTCTTGTGGGTATGACGGAGTCAGCCAAGGGAGTCTTGCACAGTGTGCAGATATTGTCACAAGCTCCAGAGCTTGGAGGTTCTGTGAACAGTTTAAAAAAAAGGGGGGGGGGAATGTTTGTACTTCAGCTTTCACATTGTTTTGGGGGGAGAAGAGTCTTTGTTTTTTAATGTGTGCTGTCTCCCATCCTACCTGCCCGCCACCCGCTCACCGTCTCCTGACTATGGCCACTGGTCCAAGGCTCAGCCAACTTGAGCATAATCTTCATAAACAGACAAATCTCTAGAGATTTCCCTAAAACTGTAATTGTCAACTAGACAGTGATTCTTGCTTTTTCTATACTATTTGTTGTAAATCTCTCAGTATCTCTGCCAAGTTAAGAAAGCTAATAAGTCAAAATCGTATTCTTTTAAGCAGGGCTTAGGTGACCTGGGATGCCATCCAGGGGACCATGCAGTGGGGCCAACTCTCCCAACCTCTTTCAGCACCTTCCGACTCCAGGAATGGGTCCCCTCACTAGTGGGTCACTTTGTCATCCCTTGGGAAGTGTCTCCAGAGGACCCTCCTCCTCCCAGGCTCTGTCTACCCCGCTTCCATGAAAGCTGTGCAGCGGGGGCTCCATTCCCTCTGTGTGTCCTCCCGATGCCACCTGCCCCAGAGCACAGGATCCAAGCAGAGGCTGGGCTAGGCCCCCAAGTCCAGATAGTCAGGAGGGTGCCGTCCACGTTGCTCTCCAAATCGGTGTCTTCTGCCCACGCCCACGGTCGTCATAATCCTCGGTTTGACCCAGTATTGATTTACCTCCTGTGTCCCACTGTGCCCACACGGGCTGCAGGCAGGATCTCTGAGGACGCAGGCCCTTCCCACAGCTTCTCCCTGGGCAGTCGAAGTACTTTAGTCAAGGCAGAAGGAGTTTATTTTGGTCATGTTGTCAACTGTACCCTTAGTCACATACTTTTGCAATCACATCTCCACCCTGCCCTCTGTTCTCATCCCATAGCTTCTCCCAACCTGATTTTTTTTAGCTGCTTTAATTAAGTATCCAAGAAAAGGGCGGGGGAGGGGGGGGAGGGGGAGGTGCATGGTGGTGGTGAGGGGCAGGGCCGGACTCTTCTGGTTCCCCAGACTATTAGTCTAACAATATGTGTTGAAAAGGCATTCTTCTGGGAGCCCCTAACCTGGCCTTCATGACCAGCACTTTCCACAGCCAGAGAGCCAGAGAGTCACCCAAGCTGGGCAGCTTCCAGGGTCTGCACCATTCTGCTCCTTCCACATGACAGCCGGGGGGTGGGGTGCAGGGAGCAGAGCCTCAAGTCCCCCCGCCATGCTGTCCCAGGCATGGCCAAGTGCATCTCAGCAACTCCTTAAGCAACTAGACTAGAATAGCCTCCCTGGGGCCCAGTCGTCCCCACCTTCCACACCTGCCCTGGAGGTTCTCAGGGCTCCTCCTGGAGCCTGGGAAAGGGGCCCCCTTGCCACAAGTTCTACCTCAGCACCCAGCCACCTGGCACTGTGCAGGGCCCACCTCTTCATTTTCCCCTATTTAGCTCTGCTTAGAAACACACTGCACTCCAAATGGTGAATAGGATTGGAAATTAGAATTACTCGTTTACAATAAGAAAGAGACCCATCTCTTCATATTGTTGTGTTTTGTTTTTTTTTTTAAGGAATTTTTGCTTCAGAAGAAACTCTAGAACATAAATGTATTCTTGTTAATCTAGGCATATGCTCATTGAATTTGACTATGCTTTGTAAAAAAAAATTATGTAGTAACGTGGGGCAAAAGGGTGTCATCAGCTTAAAAACAAACCTTCAGTGTCAGTGGGTTTAGCATTGTTTTCCTGTAGGGGACTTCAGAAGTCCAGTGCTCCATAAAAACAGGTTATCAGCCACGTTCCACGGGGTAGATGATTTTATGGTGGGAAATGTCTCAAGTGGCCTTCGATTGAGAAAAGCACAGGCTCTTCTAGCAGCACTCAGTTTAAAAAAGTATCAGTGGCTTTTTCTGCTGATAGAGTTCTTTTCATTTTGACTTGTCTGTTAACACAGCTTTTGTCTGGTTCCTCATTCCTGTGCCCCTTCAAGTCACCAGTGACATAGAAACACTTGTTTTGTTTTTAATAATACCCCTTGTGAATTGGTACGACCATGAAAAAAGGAACCCTGTTCTCAGCAGAACTTTTGAACTCCCATCACAGCCCGTTCCGCAGTTGCACCGACAGAGCTGGGAGTGGTCAGTGGATTTAACCAAAGCACCTCCCTCCTCTACCCCCTCCCTCCCATCCCCATCAGAAACTACTGCAGAAGCACCGCAAGCAGGCCCCCGGCAGCCTGTTTTCTCACTGTGTGTTCCTGGCGACAAGAGATGCTCGTCCATCCATCACTCGTCCTAAACATGTAGATTCATGTTTTCTCTCACTGACCCCAGTCTTCTCCCACTGTGAGAGAAGACTGCCAAGAGAATTCCTTGAAACAGGGCCACAGATTCCGTTTGACTCTCCCAGACTCAGGGCTGACCTTCACAGCGGGCCTTGGCCCGACAGAACGACTAGTAGATATACCTGTGACCAATTTATGTTGATGTATGGCAAACACCCATTGCAATATTGTAAAGTAATCATCCTCTGATTAAAGTAACAAAACAAAAAACACTCCTGTTAGCTGGTTGCCTGTGCAATACCAGCCACCATATGTGACAGAACCAGTTTTTAGCACACTCTTGATTTGTCATTTTGATGCTTTTAATGCCACAAGGCAAAGTCCACGAATACCAAATTCCCAAAATACCATACCGAAATTCATCCTGTTTTAAATGCAGATCTTTGTTTAACATATCTACTTTTTCTGACATGGTACATAGAGTAGTTTTTCATTTAAATCCCGCAGCTCTTATTACCTGGTAAGCTTCCAAGTTGACCAGTCTACTTAGACCTGTTTTCAGATGAGGTTACATTGTGTGTGATAAGGTATCCTGATCTTTAGAGAGAGACCTACTAGTGAAAAAAAACTAGAGATTTGCAATGAAACATATATAAGCTAGACAAAAGACATTCTAGAGAAAGTTCAAAATATTTCAAGTACCGGGAAGTTGCAACTTGTAGAATTATCCTGCCCAAATTCAGTAGGCTAGCAGAGAAATTGTGCTAATGTGATTTCATTGAAATGTCACGTCTCAAACGTTCTGTGGTCCAAGTGTACTCGTTTGTTCTGTGGAGTAATTTTCTATTCTGTTGCCGGTATGAAACTTTAGTGAAGTTGAAGTAAATTTGAATTAGTAACCTTTCTTATGAAGTTGCTCTATGGTTTACAAGTAATCCTCATGCAGAGAGGCTGTGTTAACTTTCTTAAATTAAGTAGCACGCACTTTGTTTATCTGCTTCGGTTTCTTGTGGGGTAACTACGGGGTCACCCCGTCTCACGAGCACAGGATTTGTGCTTTGGGAGCATACTGCAATTGTGCTGTTCTCTTGTACTAAGGATCAGTGAAAGTGTTTTATCTTTTTTATGTAGTTTGTATTGACTGGATTTTATAATTGTAAGAAAACAGAAACAGAGTGTTGTATTTTGATCTGAAATTTGTCTATGGTAAAGTAATTTTGTTTTATGTATTGGAAGTTCATTTAAAACTTGAAATATTTTCTAGAAGGGTACCGAACAAATGAATTGTCTTTAAGCTGTTTAATTAACCTAATAAAACAAATTGATGGGGAAGGCATTGTAATTGATTCTCATTTTTACAGTGGGTCCTGCTAAATTAGCATTGTCAGTACAGCTTGGCTTGACCTGGCTTCTGAATGGAGTGTGGTCTTTTTATACCATATCTTGAACGGTCTGAGTGTCAGAATCCTGGCTCACGGTGTAAGCTACACTCTCCGTTCCCACACTCCATAGTCTTTGCCTTGGTGTCTTCCATTCTCCATCAGGGTCAGTCTCCATTCAGTCTCCCAGAAGACAGTTTCAGGTTTCCTTTCCTTGGAGGAGAGAAAGACCTTAGACTTAAGGAGGAACAGAGGCTCTTGACATCAAGGGTCTATTTAGAGGTTGGAGAATTCTGTGACAGATAGGATTCTCTGATTTCTTGCTGTCCTGCCCAGAGACTACAAAGCTGCAGATATCAGGGAAGCTGGCACAGGCAGATCTCTACTGAAGATATGAGGCAGAGACTTTCCCAGCGAGGTCAAAGTTACATACGTAAAGTCTGCCAGAATTGCTCCCGAAATCACATGGAAAGAAGAAACGGAATATTCCTCTTCAGTTGCACAGTGTAGTGTCAGGTAGGTTTGGAAGTTGGCTTTAAATTTTTTCCACGTCCCATAATGACAAGAAGGTTTTATGGCCCTGCGGTCTGTCAGCCTTTTTATCTTCGGTGGGAGGGAAGGTTGCTGTGGAACCCTTTGTTTAAACAAAGCCTTGGCCAGAAACCAGTGCCCAAGTTGGCTGGTTGCAGAAGGGTGTGGTCAGAGCCATCAGATCCTAAAGCCCGGCCATTCGATGTCCAGGCCTCTGCCAGCAGCTCCAAGAGGTCCATGCTGTACCCACCCACTCCTGGGACACCTTGGCAGTCTCTGCCGTCTCAGAGCCTCTGTTTCTTGTCTGTAAAATGAGGCTTAAGTCATTGGATTTCCTTGTCTGGAGGGCAAGGACGTAATTCCTCCTTATATAAAACCCTGGACTAGATCATCCTCCCCCTTTTGTATCTACATTACCTGAGGTGTCAATCTGCTCACAGCCTGCCCTATAGAGGAACCCAGTTCTGGGGGAATACCCCCCCAGATGACTTGTTCTTAGTGGGGAGAGGGGCGCTTTGCTAGTTTTGATACAGGTGAAGATGGGACATCAGGGGTTGACCGCGTCACCCTCCTGATACCGTTGCTGGTGTCAGAGGGTAACACGTCTTGTTGACCAGCTGCGGACAGGGGCTGCTTCAAGTACTTCACGTGTTAACTCACTTCATCCTCAGAACAACCCATTTCACAGCAGAGAAAACTGAAGCCCAGAGATCGGCACTTGGCCAGACTCAACAGGTTCAGTGGTGGGAGGGCAGAACTGGATTCAAGGCCAGGCAGTCCAGTGGCCTCTCTCTAGAAAAGGGACAGACCTTCTTGAACGCCGCTCATGTTTATTTAATGGCCAAGGGTGGAAAATTAAATAGTTTCATGGCCAAAGGGGTCAGTCAGGGAAGGTTTCCTGGATAGGAGGCAAATTAGGAGGTCTGCTGATACTGCGACCATTTCAGCTAGAATAGAAGCTGATGAGCGCCAAGACCAGCTCTGAGTGAAGAGGGTGTGTGTGTGCGCGTGCACGCACATGTGCACATGTGTTGCTTCGTTTTAAAAGAAACCTGTAGCTTTCTGAAGAACTGACTTCATTCATTTGTGTCCACTGCCTGTGGGGTTTTGGAGCAGCTTCTGAAATGTGGGTGTGAGCAGAGTATGCTCCTCATCGCCCCTATGAAAACAGTTCACACACCCTGGGATGCTGTCGTGAAACAACAGCAACAGGAAAGGGCAAGTGTTGCTGAGGGTGTAGAGCACCCGGGACCCTCGTGCCCTGCTGGTGGGGAGGGACAGGGCTGCAGCCATCATGGGGAACCACTCGGTGTCTCCGCCCCAAGTTCAACAGGGTTACCATGTGCCCCAGCACCTCACTTCCAGGTGCGAGTCGCCAAGAGAGATGAAAACGGGCTCAAACCAGTGTTCACAGCAGCACCACTCACATTAGCCCACAGGTGCAGACCACCCACCGGGCCACGCAGAGATGAGTGGATTCACCTCCTGTGGTCCATCCATAAGACATGCCAAGTGAAGGGAGCCAGTCCCCAAAGACCACACATTATACCATTTATCTGAAACATCCAGAGACACGCAGCAGATTCACGGTTGCCAGGGCCTAGGAGGGAAGAATGGGGAGTGACTGCTTATGATGGGTTCCCTGCAGATGAAGAAAATGTGTTGGAACCAGATAGAAATGATGCTTGCATGGCATTCAGAATGTACTGAATGCCGCTGAATTACACACTTTTAGATGGTTTGTGTTGTGTGAAGTTTCCCTTGATTAAAAAAAAAAAATGAGGGATTGAATATGGGGAGCAGAAAAGAGAAAAGATCACCACTACATGTTGGGTCGTTGGGAAGATTGAGGAAGAGGAGAAGCCACTTGCCAGCCCCAAGTGGTGGGTCCTGTAGACACCCCCGCGGCAGGCAAGATTGAGGCTGGGGGGCTGCGTGTCTGGTGTGTGCAGAGTCAGTCACCCGTGTGTGTGTCCCCTGGTGTTTGAGGTGTTCCACCGACTTTTTCCTCACCATCAGGAAATTGAAAATCTGAACAGATTTTCTCAGATTCAACGGGAACCAGTCTGCCTGTGAAACACCAGACCGCTGGATACAAAGCCAGTTGGCACCACCATCCCCTCCTTGGGGTGCTTTCTTATCCCCTGTGCCTGGGGGACAGAGGCCTCATCCTGGCACGTGGTGGGAGCTGAAGGGACCGCAGTGTGGTACCCTGCCCTTGCCAATGCACAGCACCCTGCGCTGGATACAGGGCTCTCAGCTCTGTAGGGGCTGCTGCTTATAAACAGGACACCCGCCCCGCTGCCCGGCCTGGCCTGCTGCTTCCCCAGCGGCAGCCCCAGCCTCCTCCTCCCCCTCCCAGAGCCGGGCAGGACTGTCAGACCCCTCGCCCAGGAACTGTGGCCACTCCTAAAATGTTTGCAGGGAAAGGCAGCAGGCGCTCCTGCAGGCTGGAGGCGGGGTGCTCAGAGAATTCCCAGCCTGGGGATCTTACCGTAAGGGTGGGTGTATTTTTATCCAGCAGGATATACTTATCAGCTACAGCCAGGAAAGGGGAAACTGACTTAACAATTCAAGCCCCGCCAGATTCGCCATCTCTGCAGTAGCTGTGTTTCCCCAGTGCCGCTGGGAGGCTGGGAGGGAGGAGGGAGAAAGAGGTTATCACCTGCCTGGGGTGCTGGTGCCCCTCAGCTGCCTTCCCTCCCATCCTTTAAGCTGCCCAGAGACTTCTGGGGGGCAGCATCCATCAGACACTTGCCGTCCAGTGGCGGGACCTCTGCTACTGGTTACCCTCACACCGTTCCTAAGAGCGTGACCCTTGCCTAACAGATAAGAACGTCACAAGCCATTTGAGTCACATGCTGCAAGTCATGTGGCTGGTCTGAGGCCAGGCTGGGATTGGACCCAGGCCTGTTGATTAGGCTGCTTCTGACAATTGTCCTTTTGCCTTTAAGCTGTCTCTTTGTCATTAGACACAACACTGGAGGCTCTGCACTAACAGGGCCTCCACTCTGATGGGTCTGCACAGCACGGGCCTGGAGACACAGAAGAGCCAGCTGTGCTCTGGGGCCTCCCTTTGACCATCCTCGCCCTGTAGAGAAATCACTAAGATACCTTAACTCCTGTGGCCAATGGAACGATGCTTCCTGGGCCCCCAGGTACATTGATGTCCTAATCCCCAAGCCAGTGAATCTGTGACCTGACCTGGCAAAAGGGACTTGGCACATGGGACCTGAGTTACGGATTTGAGATGGTAGACTATGGTGGATGGTCCTGGAGGGCCCCGTCACAGCCAGGATTCTTACGACACGGAGGCTAGAGGACCGCAGAGAAGAGGTGACAGCAGAAGCAGAGGTTGGACTGAGGCAGGGCCCCAGGCCAAGGACTGTGGCCAGCCTCTAAAGCTTGAAGAAGGAAACACATCCTTCCCTGGAGCCCCCAGAAGGAGGACAGTCCTGTTACACCTCCATTTTAGCCCAGTCAGACCACTTCTGACATCCAGAACTGTGAGATAATAAATGTGTGTTGTGTGAAGCCATTTGGCATGAGGTAACTTGTTACAGCAGCCCTAGAAAACTCATACAAGCCCACCCTCCAGAAGTTCCACCTTGATTGTGGTGGAGGGGCCCAGCCACAGGACCCAGATGACTCTAATGATCAGCCAGAGCTTCGACCCACCCATCTCCCAGACATCTTTCTTGCATCTGTCTAGGTGATGCATAGATCTTACATTTGCATAAATGATGCATCTGCTTCCAGTTAGCTGGACACTGCCGAGGCTTTTGTTGACCAGAGCTTGCCAGTCCTATGCCTCCAGGTTTGAGCCATTCCAGCTTCCCATCCTGTACAGGCTACAGCAGCAGGCCCTGGGCCACCCGAGTCGCTGCTGGTCTCTCTCTTTACCCAGGCTTCCTTCAGACAGACGAGAGTCTAGACAGACCTTCTTGTCTTCACCAGTGCCCTCTGCCAGTTGTCCCTCTCAACTTCTGTAGAAGTCCATCCCCCAAATTGCAGCCCACCCCTTGCACAATATGTTTTCTCAGTCTTTGGGAATCCCACCATGTTACTCCCCAACTGAAAAGCCCTTTGCTGATGTTCCAATGCCTTGAGAATGAGACCTGACCATGCCATGGCCTCTGAACCACTGCAAGGGGCCCCTGCCCACTGCTGCAGTTTCCTTCTGTGTCGCCTGACACCTCACCCTTCAGCCCCAGGGGCCCTCTGTGACCACAGGGCATTGGGACCTGCTGTGCCCCCTCCCTTCACTCGTCCTGGCTTCTCAATCAGTGGCTCGTCTTTATGGAGAACTTTTCTGCTTCTCTCCTCCGACTCTATCAGAAAGGGTGGAAGATGCCAAAAGGGTCTAAGGGCTTCTAAAGTGAAGCAGAAGTGTAGAGAACCAACTGCTGATTCTCTGCAAATAACAAATAACATACACATTACAAATAACCAAGCCTGGGCTCTTCTCAGTCCCGTAGTCTCAGAAAGCATATAATTCTTCCACAGGTAGGAGCAATGTTTCACTTTCCTCCTTAGCCAGCCCTACTGTCAGAACCACAATAGCTGAAGGGTCCTAAGCAGCCATAGATGCTTGACCTCAAGGTTAGAAATCAATACGGAGGGACTTCCCTGGTGATCTAATGGCAAAGACTCCGAGCTTCCAATGTAGGGGGCCTGGGTTCAATCCCTGGCCAGGGAACTAGATTCCACATGCCTCAGCTAAGAATTGGCATGCTGCAACTTGAAAAAAAGATCCTGCATGCCACAGCTGGAACCTGACATAGCAAAATAAATAAATATTTAAAGAAAGAAATCAATAAGGAGAGGTGAGAACTTTGACACCCCATCTGATGGAGGCCAGACTATCACACTGTGGAGACCAAGCAAGTATCTGTGGGCCTGATTTCTTTTGCCATATTTCATCACCTGGTTTATATCTCTCCTAGCCTGGAGTAGATTGAAAAACATGGCCATATCATTTTGCAGCTGCTCCCACAAAAAAGAGGAAGGGAGTTAACTTTCCCATCTCCTGAATCTAGGCTGGTCTGGAGACTGACTCTGCCAATAGAAGGAGGCAGAAATGACAGTGCACTGGTTCCACCCCAAATGGCCTACAGCTCTGTCTTTGCCTCATGAAACCCTCTGGCCACCATGTAAGGAGCCCTCAGGCTAGACTGCTGGATAATAATAGACAGCACGGAGGGAGAGAAGATAATCGTGAGGCCAGATGACACCCTCTGGTTCTGGTCCAACCACACAGTGACACCTGAGGCTACAAATGACCTCAGGCGAGACCAGCGAAAGAACTGCCCAGCTGCCCCCGGCCTGAATTGCAGAACAGGGAGGAAGTAGATGATGGGCGTTTAAGTCATATGAATAGGAGTGTTTGTTAGGCGTGGGTGCTGTGTGTGCATGCTCAGTCATGTCCAACTCTTTGCAGACTCTTCTGTCCATGGGATTTCCCAGGCAAGAATACTAGAGTTGGTTGTCCTTTCCTCCTCCAGGGAATCTTCCCAGCCCAAGGATCGAACCCACTTCTGTTGCTTCTCCTGCATTGCAGGTGGATTCTTTACCACTGTGCCCCTTGGGAAGCCAGCAACAGGTAACTGATACATAGCCATTATTACAGTCTTTCATCATCAATGTTTATTTACCTTTTTGTCTCCCATCTTTGCTCATCCACTTTCCTACACACACCCTGTAACCCCGGCTCCATCAGCCCATGGAGCTGTCTTGTTCCCTGTGGGGTCCCTATAGCTTCATGTCATGCCCAGGAGGTGCTCAACAAATATTTGCTCAAGGAATGAAGAAATGAATGTTTAAGTCAACAAAGATTTGTGATGCCAACCTCTTGTCACAAAACACCAAGCTGGAGATGAAAGTGACCTGTTCCCCCAGGAGGGAACTCATAGCATCCTAGACTTGGGGCTCATCTTCCATCGTATAATTTTAACCAGGAAATGTAGGGAGGTCCCTTAGACCCCTGGCTGATATTTCAGCCACATCCAATTCTGGCATGCAGAGTAGAAATGGTATGGCTTTACACTTGAGCAAATTGGGTGTGGATTCTGGAGCATCTAACCCTTCCGAGCCACGGTTGACTTTAAATGGGAACAGAGGCAGGGATCTCCCCGAAAGGCTGTTGGGGGGGCTTCCCTGAGCTGCGTGTACTGCCTGTGAGGGATATTGCTCCATACCTAGAGGAACTCAGGAAGTGTGAGTCCTTTGACATCTTTGGGGAAACATCATCTTGGGGTTGGGGAGCATTTTCTGACTTGCTTCCCAAGCTTGGGGTCTGCAGCTGGGGCCAGAAGAGCAGAGATGAGGATGCTCAGCTCCAGAACTGCAAACAGAACCCATGCTGGTCCCTGAGTATGTTCTCTCTGTCCACAGTCAGGTCCCAGTTAGGAACATTTTAGGCAGCAGAGGTTGGGTGCCAGGTTCACTTTCTCTGTCTGCTGTTTGCCAGCCTCTGGCCTCCCCTCTCAGGGCCAGATCTGAGTCTATAACCCGCACAGCCCTTTCCCAGCTCAGCACAGCCAGGTGCCCCTCATTAGGTGAGGTGAACGCAGTCCGCCCTCCAGGAGGTCACTCTGGCCAACTCCCAGGCCACCCCCCAGGCCACCCCCGACACAACAGCCTGTGACTATTTACTGTTCAGTTGCTCAGTCATGTCCGACTCTTTGTGACCCCATGAATCACAGCATGCCAGGCCTCCCTGTCCATCACCAACTCCCAGAGTCTACCCAAACCCATGTCCATCGAGTTGGTGATGCCATCTAGTCATCTCATCCTCTGTCGTCCCCTTCTCCTCCCGCCCCCAATCCTTCCCAGCATCAGGGTCTTTTCCAGTGAGTCAACTCTTTGCATGAGGTGGCCAAAGTATTGGAGTTTCAGCTTTAACATCAGTCCTTCCAATGAACACCCAAGGTTGATCTCCTTTAGGATGGACTGGCTGGATCTCCTTGCAGTCCAAGAGACTCTCAAGAGTCTTCTCCAACACCACAGTTCAAAACATCAGTTCTTTGGCACTCAGCTTTCTTCACCGTCCAACTCTCACATCCATACATGACTACTAGAAAAACCATAGCCTTGACTAGACGGACCTTTGTTGGCAAAGTAATGTCTTTGCTTTTTAATATGCTATCTAGGTTGGTCATAACTTTCCTTCCAAGGAGTAAGTGTCTTTTAATTTCATGGCTGCAATCACCATCTGCAGTGATTT